CCAAGCGAAATGCTGATGCGCGCGCAGCTTTAAAACGTAACACAATGCGCATGTCAGAATGTGTGTTCCAATTGGCTGTTGCTAAGATGAAGTATTGAACGATTTTAGCGGGCGATGAGTGTGAGAAAGCCAAGAAAAGGAAGAGAAAAACAAAGTCGCAAAGTGAAAATTTGACACTTGCTGGAGCTACAATATTTTTTTGGTCGTACATGCATTTCTGTATGTGTGTGTATGGCATAAAATCTCTTCGTAAAAATCGCTAAAGAAATGTTTTCTAGCGGAACAATGTTGTGCGCGTTTAAACCAAGCGAATAAAAAGTGAGGATTAAATATGGCGGCAATGTAAATCGGTTGTGTTCGTGTGTGTAAAATCAGTGTTTTTTTTTATTGGCAACGTAAAAGTGTATCCCATGATTTTTTTGTTTTATTTTTTATGTGTTAAAAAGCTAATAAATTAATTATTTTAAATATAAAATAAACGAAATATCAAAGGAAAAGAAAAGGAAAGGGCGACTTCGCATTTTTTTTTTTTTACTTTTCTTCATTTTATTTTGTCATTTTTGTTTTTGTATTTTTAATTGTCATATTTTTTTATTGTCTGTTGTGACGTTTCTCCACCTTTAGTTATATTTCCTTGCATTTCTTGCTGCCAACGCGAAAAATAAATGTATTAATTTTTAAATGTTGATTTGTATTCTGTTATTTTGTATTTAATTTCACAATTCATTAAATAACTTAATTATTCCATGGTGTTCTGCAGTAATCCGCGACTTCCCATGTCTTTCCATTTCTTTTCCAATTCATTGTTTTATTATTCAGCGTTAAAAAAATGTTGTTGCCAGTTGTTTTTTTGTTTTTTTTTTTGTGTGTTTAAAAAAAATAATTCATAAAATTGGTCATTAAATTTCGCGTTGCAAAAAAAGAAGATAAGCCCGACACGAAGAAGAAAAAGACGAAATGATGTCAGTAAGATATAAAATTCAGAAATTCGGTAAGTGAAAAATTCATGTAACTTTTTTATATTCAATGTGTTCACATTTTCTATTTTCATTATATGATTTTCGGCCCATTTGCTGGTTTTTTAACAGCGCCATTTACGAATTTAAATATTAATAATATTTTTCGGCAGTTTTTTTTGTTCAAAAAAATAATATTTATAAGTATATCAATATTTTCCCCATTTTACATTATCCATTAAAATATTTTCTCGGCATTTTCAGGCATTTTGAAGTTAATCCTTATTATAAAAAAAAACACATTTTTTTCGGAGACTTTTTTATGATTTTTCACCCTGAAAACTGAGCTTTTTTATTTTGTTTTCTTAACCTTTTTTTTTATTGCTAATAGCCGACACGGGTGACCTTTTAACAGCTTAGTGACCTTAGTGCACCTGTCCAACCACGCCCCTTCATCACTTAAATCATGTAGCTAACCGCCTTCGCACTTTTCTTTGGGGTTCCTTGTGTAAATTTATGCAGCTTCGAGGGTAATTTTCTCCCTCAGCGATAATATTTGTCTACGGTTACACGCTTCGACAGCCAAAACTGTAAAGCAAACATGGGAAAAGCGTCGAGCCCCTTGGAAAAATCGCAGCCCCGAGGCGGTAAACGCACTTTGCGGCCCGCAAAATTCCCGCGAGAATCGAGCAGCCTCAAAACTCAAGTGTTTGAATAATGGAAAATTATGAAAAATTATGACGACGAGAGAGAGAGAGAGAGGGAGAGAATGTTTTCACCACCCACTGGGTGGTGGTGGTTGCTCCGTGACCTCGGGTAAAATTAACGAAAATCTGCTGATTCCAGCTCATTGCCGTTTTTAATTCAATTTCGAGGCTAAACAAACATATTGCCAACGGGCGAAAGGGAAAGGGGACATGTTTATTGTGTCTAAGGGGAGACAATAATAATAATAATAATAATAACAATTCGGAGGCAAAATATACTTTAGTTAATTGCCAACGCAGGTGGCCTCCTCGAAAGAAACAGAAAGAAAACCCCTTGACGAAGCCTCTTGCTCTTTCCCGATTGTGCAACTTCAAAGCGGCATGATCCTGGAGATTGGTAATACGAGGGTGACACAGGCCCTTTCTCAAGTCCTGGCCAAGACAAAGGGATAAAGCAAAAGTGGTAGAAAACAGAAAAAAATCGCCTCACAATGGAGGAGTGAGTAGCGATGAGTGGGCACATTCTTCACCTCACATATATGTATGTACATAAATTCGAGAATGGGTAACATCAATATTTGTGGAGTTTTGAGCCGCAGAGGGGGGAGCACAAATTATGCCAAGCTGATGATTACTAATTTCTTGGCGACGCTACTGCGGCCCAAGACAAATATTTGAAATGCCCTCCAGCAGACCGCTCCTGCCTCTATCTGAGTAGATCGGGAAACGAAGTCACCTCGATCACTTGAGCTGCGGGATTAGGCGTATTTGACTTGCACGCACCAAAGAAGGCAAAGCAAAAAATATGGATAAGAGACGCCCAAGAAGAGAATAACTCACTGTTAGCTCTCTCTACACACACACACACAGCTCTCTGCGAGCTACTGTTTTACCCGATCTTTTTCGCCTTGATCCAAGTCCAATACCAATCTCAAACCCAATCCCAATCCCAATCCCAATCCCAATCCCATCCATCGAGTGTCTAAATAAGAATAATAATTGTAAATGATGAAGTCAAAATAAGCAGATCATTTAAATGCTGAATGCTGTTTGGATGGGAACTGAATAATTACCACAAGTTTGGGGAGGGAGGCTTTTGAAATCGGAAATCTGTGAGAACCGAGATTTCTGTGGCGATAAAGCGAATACAAATTTGTATGCGAAGGTCTTGGGTAAAGGTATATTAATTAAGTATTATTACAAATTGATGGTATTAACTTTAGGGAATAATATTTATAATAAATACCTCTTTAAACTATGAGAACTGAGTTTTCTGTGGCGTTTAAGCGTTGAATTTTGGTATGCGCAGAACTTTGGTAAATGGGTGCTTAATTAATAAAATTTCGATAAGACAGGACTTCTTTTAGTAAACACAATAAAAAAAAACTGCGAGAACTGATCTTTCTTAAGCAATTTAGTCTTGATTTTTGGTATGCGAAGGTGCTGAGTAAATAGGTTTTAAATTAATATTAATTTGAAAAAATCGGATAATTGGATCACATAATGAATGTACCCTTTCCCAAAGAGAGTAACACCCTGTGTAGGCATCGAATTTGTTCATTTTTTTTTTTACTCCACACAGTTTTCTCTTTTGTTATTGCTGCTGTTTGTCTTAGGCAAGATTTTCAATAATTATTGCCACTTATGGTACCGCAACTCTGGGGACTTAGGAGAGAGAGACGAGACCGAGTCTCTGGGCATTGGAATCGCGGAAGAGAGGGGCACTCCTCGAGTGGCCAAGCTCTTGGCATGCAAATATGCTAAACAGTAGCAGTCACAAAAGCTGGGGCTGCTGCTGAAGTTGATTATGCTGCTTAAGTCAATGACGAGCGATGACTGAGCACAAGATTTGCTATGGGGATTTTCAGTCATCAGCCATTGTCCACTTTGCTTGTCAGAGACAAGTTTGAAGTCTCTTTTTGTGTGTGTGAGAGTGTGTGTGTTGTATGTTAATTAGTCAGAGTCGCCCCAATGAGGCAGCAGATTTGTTGTCAGTCTCTCCCAATTTCCAATTAGTTGAAGAGCTGGGAAATCATTTCCCCTTCCCTCTCGCTCTATCTCTTTCTCTGTGGAGAACTCCCTTAGAAACCTGCATTCTAATCCGCTTAGGATTCCGAATATGATGACCCGCGGGCCGGAAACTTGTCGCCTAATCAAAGAGCTGGCGTCAATTCGCCTGCGGGTTAAGTAACGCCGCTCATTACCCAAATGGGAGAGGAGGTTGTCTTAAGCTGAAGGCTAAACATAAACCCACACCCAGGTGTCAACAAATGTCGCACTTGTCCGCTTTCCTTTACCACGATAAGGGGTGAGGGGGTGAGCTAAAGAAGGGTTCCGTTTTGGGGTGGCGGCAATGTCTAGATTAAACATTTGACCGGTTAACAAACATATTGCCACGGTAACTAGGCTAGGGACCCGAAAAGCGTTGCTAATCCTTATCAAAGACGACGCCCTCTGATTTCTATGCATCACAAAAATTGTGAACAAATTAAATTGTCAACTTTTATCGTCACTTATCATCGTCCTGCTTTTCCCCCTTGGTGACCTCTCAATTTGTTTGTTTGCCAGCCTGCCTGCTTGTTTGTTGTTGGGTTTCCTCGACACTAATGGACTTTGAATCACAAATGTCTAAGTTGTAGTAGTAGCAGGAGTATATCCCCAGATACAAAGGGATGTTTAGACCCCGGGGTGGGATTTACAAGGAGGAGGAGGCTGGGAATCCCTGCATATTTACATTAGCAATGATACGATTCCAGGGACATGCAACCACCAAAAAGAAGCACCCAGAAACAAGCAAATAACCATCGCCATCCGTTTAAACATGCGGTCCCATTACTCAAATTAAGTGAATCATTCGGATTGTTGGCATTGTTTTGCTTTTGCCAGAAGGAGAAGCGAAGCCCCGCAAACCGCCGACAACTAAATAAACAGCGAGAAGTTCTCAAGGGGAGAAGTGTAGAGAATTCTCTGCTAGAAGAGAAGAGGAGAGCGTAGAGCGTAGAGATTGCGATGCAGATGCCAGAGATTCGAATTCAGAATCTGATTCATTGTTGTTTGGGCATTGCGGGGGTGTGTGTGGTAGCACTCAATTGGTTTCACGCGGTGAATTAAAATGAGCGTGAAATTAGAGCCAAATTGGGGGAAAAAGTTTGATTACAAAGGGTGGGTAGAGGTTTTTGAAAACCAAAATTGATAAAATTTTAAATCACTAACAAGAACATTACAATAAATGTGGATCTAAATGAATTGAGCACTCCTTCTAATATATATTTTGCCTTGAAAGCAAATCCAACTACAATCCCCTTAAAATATCTAATGAATAACTTTCGACACTCACCTCCACACGCTCCTCTTTGAGATCCACCTTCAAAGCCAACTGCTCCCTTAGCACCACATCCGGATAATGGGTCTTATCGAAGGTGGCCTCCAATTGCTCCAGCTGCTCCTCCGTGAAGATGGTGCGATGGCGACGCTTCCTCTTTGGCGGCGGCCCATGGCCCAAATGCCCCAAATGATGGTGCTGTCCGTGTCCGTGGTGATGCGCTCCCAGATGCGGATGGTGGGGATGGGCGTGCGGGTGATGTGGGTGGTGGCCATGGCCGGCCGCCAATCCCGCGGCGGCTGCTCCGCTAACGTGCGCCTGCATTTGAGCGGCGGCCACATGGGCCACAGCAGCCGCGTGCATGTAGTTGGGATAAAAGTTGGGGTAGGCCACTGTTTGCAGGAAAAACAATAAGAAAATGCATTATTCTCGTGGATGTAATAACAGTCATATATCATCATCATCATCCTCATATATGTATAGGGTAGGGGTAGGGCCGGGGTAAGAGGAATATTCCTCGGTAAATCCTTAAAAATGCGCATAACATAAAACGCGGAAAAACGGCCGCCATGTTGGCTTCCACACCAGAGGAAAGAAAAGTAGAAACACAGGTAAATTTTGCGATAAGCATGGAAAATTTAAAAAATGTATATTTATATGAACATAAAGCACTTCTTTTTAAATATTCAAAATATTTTTTATATCTAAATGAATTTTCCTCAGATGAAAACTAAACTCTTTACCCCATCTGTAAGCATATGTGTGCGGCTTCCGTTTCCGGTTGCAGTGCAGGGAAAAGATTTTTTCGGACCGCTTTTTTTTTATTGTTAATATTCATATCCTGCGGGGGAGCCTTTGAATGAATTTAAGCGGGGATTCTGCATAAATCTCCGCCAGAGATCCACGCTCGAATCAACACAAGACCCAAGCTTGAGCTCAAACCCAAGCCCATTCTTAAAGCCCAACCCTCCCCCGAGGTGGCCCAATCTGAGTCTTAGGCCTCATGCAAATCCTCTCACCGCTCAAAATCGAAGGGAAATGGGAAACGGGGAAAGGGAAATGCGGAATCATCTTTCACGGATCATTGCCTAATTATGAATAATGCCATTCAGGATTCGCTTAAGGATGAGTGGTTCGGTTCAGTGGTTGAGAGGATGAGGATGAAAATAAGGATGTCGAGTGCATGGGTGGGTTCCCTTAAGGTGTTTTTCCGAGTTTGGAGTTTGATGGGAAGCCGCATAAAAGATATTATTGAACAAGTACAGTGGTTACAAGAAAATAGAAAACTTTTCCCCAATTTATCTTGTGAAAAATGTTAGGGAAATTGACAAAATGGATGTTATTTAAAGAAATTAATATGAAGCAGAAGGATGGTTTACTTCCAAACTGAATGTAGTTAATTAAATAGTAGTTTTCTCTAAACAATTTATAAAAAATTATAACCTTTAGGTTAATCCAAATTGTCACAATTCTTAGAATTTTATAGACTCCACTTGGAGAAAACTTACCCAGAAAATCGGAGGGCGATGCGGCAAAACCGCTCGCCGCTGCCGCCGCCAGGTGACCCAGATGCAGGCCGGGATGCTGCAGCATGGCAGGAACCCTCTGCGGTCGAATGGGACTGGCGGCAGCGCTGGAACTAGAGTTGGAGTTGGGCGAGGCGGGGGACTCGGCTCCATTGCGCTTCAGTCCCAGACTGATGCCATTGGAGGTCAGTCCATTGGGTAGTCCGCCGTTGCTGCTGCTGTTGTTGTGGTTGTGGTTGCTGCTCTGGTTCGCCGTGGTTCCCGCTTGCCGGGATCCCAGGATGCTGTCGATGGTAAAGAGCGAGGCGGCGGCTGCCGAAGCAGCTCCTCCTGCTCCTCCTGCTCTCCTATCGTCCTCGAGAATAGTGACTCCTGATTGACTGCCATCGTCGGAGGACGGCGTTTGGCTCTGGCTCTGCTGGTGGTGCTGATGATGGGCATGCTGTTGCTGCTGGAGCACCGACTGCAATCGCTGGCCCAGGTAGCCGCATTGCTGTGAGTTTAGGAGCATGGCGGTGGTCAGGTGATAGGCAGCCGAATTGCCGGGACTTCGGGAGATTTGACGCGGTGGCTGCTGCTGCTCGGCAAGATCGCTGGGGGATCGCTTGAGCGTGTAGCCCGCCGGCGGGGAGTTGGTTTCGACCATTTGGGCAAGTAGGGAGCCCGCGGGTGGCGGCGTCGGCGGTGGCGAGGGACTCGGCGTGCTTACGACGGTAATCTTGAACTTGGCGGACTTTGGGGACGGAATGATGCTGTGGTCGGGCGTGGTGCTGTGGCCGTCTCCGCCGCCTCCAGCTCCTCCACCTCCTCCTCCTCCGTTGGTTGCGCCGCCCGCCAGCGTCGCCGGGGTCCACAGTGAGGAGAGAATTTTGAAGATTTTTCGTTCTACTTGCGGAGGTGAAAACAGTCTCGAAAACGGCACTTAATTGTAGGTTCCACTGATAACAATTCGCACTGAACACGCGTCGTGATTTCTCATAAATTTTCACAGGTTTTCCTTTAGATTTTCTCTACCGAAACGGATGGAACCCTTCTTGTCCGCTCGAGCTGCGAAACTGTTGTGAGAGCGTGTGCCGCACGAACGACAAGTTGTCGTCAATCCGGTTTTCACGGATACAAATGCAACCCGGAGTAGCAGATACAGATACAGATACAGACGATGGGCACTCTCTCTCGATAAGCGGACATTTTTGGTCTCGGAACCAATGAGATTTCGCTGAGGCCACGCCCCCTTTTGCTACCATATTGTTAAGCTACGCTCTCTCTCTCTCACTGGTTCTGGCCCTCTCTTTCTACCCTCTAGTGCCTGGCTTTCGGTGTCCCTTTTCCACGAACACCAAACCATTGTTTCCGGTGGTTGCTGGAGTTCGTTTCCTCCCAAGGTTGCCAGGAGAATGAAGAGGTCTTTGATGGCAAAAGATGGCGCTTCGGAGATAATGCTCCCCCCCTCATGGTCCCCTCTTTTTCTTTATCCTATATTTTATTTTGTATTTTTTTCTCTGATTTTCCCTTTTTACTGACAGTTATTTGTACAGATAAAGTCATCACTGACAGACCCCGTGGCCCCCCAGAGGGAGAGAGAAAGCTGCAGAGAGAGAGAGAGAGAGAGAACGGGAGCATGTGCAAGAGAGATGGTTGTACAGAGGCTCTCTCGTTTGCTCCTGCTGGAAAGGAGAGTGTAGATAGTGTGGGGAGCATAAAAATGTTGCCTTTGGTAATGTGGAAAATCACCCAGGTTGGCGTCGTCATCTCTCTCTCTCTCTCTCTGTCTATCTCTCTTTTCTGCTCGGGGATTCACCGCGCTGCTGTCTCTGCCGGCGCAGTATCTTAAGAAGATAATGACTAAATTAATGCTTTTATGTTTTTGGCAACACATAAACATCATTATGCGCTCAATCCGCCCACGGAGATGCGCTGGTTCTTTTTTTTTTTTTCTCTCCAGCTCCTGCTTCTTTGGGGGGTTAAAGGTTTTACATAAGAGTGTGAGTGCGCCAAGGAGAGGGGGAATGGTATATATACTATATATATATATATACGAAGAAATCTACGGATAGAGCAGGGAAAAAGTTGGAGAAATGAAAGAGTTATGCTAGAACCTACTAAACCTAGTAATAATTTGGAATTTTGTGTGACCCTTTATGGCTATTGTTGTATGTGTGTTGGCATATGAAAATATTTTAATCTAAAGTTTCCACATCAAACATGCCCAAGTGCAAAATCCCCAATGGCCGCCCCGGGGCCTCCTCTCTCCCCCTCCCTTGACTCTCCCCTCTGACATGCAGGAAAACAAAAGCTAAGCTTCGACTAATGATAAATGCAACTCTGGCAAGCCACACACACACACACACTAACGCAAATGGAAAGTTAACTGGGAAAAGCGAATGAAGCGAAAAGTCACCACAATGTCACCTATGTGTTGTGTTTGTGTGTGTGGGCTGTGTTTATATAGGGATCACTTGGAGAAAAGCCTCATATATATGTATTATAAGATGTAATAATGGATTCTAATGCCATCTTTTCGTAGATTATAGATGATTAGATGATAAATTTGATAAGAACCTGAATATAATATCATTCTTTGCTGTACTTACAGAGGAAAAGTATTAAGAGCTTCTTCTTGACCTGAGACTCTAGGTGGTTTAATAAAAAGTCAACTGCTAAGCTACTCTTAGGTAACTATCCTGTTTCTTGGAAATTATAGTTATAAAATTTATCTAATATTTATTAAAAGGTTTGTTTAGAACTTCAAGAGTTTTAAAACTAAGATTCGCAATTCCTTCAAATTCAATTATTCTTTCTGTGTAATACGAAGGACAAAATGAAGGTCCTGAATGGTAAGCTTACATAAATGCAGATATGTGGGTGCACATGTGTGGGTGTATGTATCCAACTGATTACAGGGATATCAGAGGGGGGAAAATGGCAAAGGACTCTACCGTCACATGCACATGCTGTAAAAGGATGAAAGGATGACGGCTGATGACGTCGACGAATGTGACCAAATGCTTTTAGAAATTATTGAATAATTAAGCAGAGACTAGGACCAGAGGGCCACCAGGATGCTTTTCACTCTTTGTTCCCCACCTTTGTCACTTTTCTCTAGCTTTTCCATATTTGCCTTTGCACTGAACTTCTTATATGACCAAAACTCCCGACGGGAAAACCGAGGATGATGATGATGATGATGATGGAGATTTCTCCAGATGAGAAAGGGAGGAAAATGGGGAAGCACTGGGAGTGCGCTTCTCGCTAAGCTCAAAAGTTGTGCTTCCGAGTTTTTACTATTATTTTTTTTTACTTGCCCCTCTCACGTTTTCATTTTCTCCCTCACACTGACCTGATTTTTTGTTGTGTTTTTTACCACTCTCTCGCACTGTACACTTTTTGTTTTAGTTCGTAGATTGAATTTTAAATAAAAAATTATATTAACTCGTCTAAGTATTGTATTTGGTTAGCTTTCCTCTACCCCGATTCCTCTCCATCGATCGCAAAAAAAAGTTCAATTGGCAAAAGGACTAAGCAAACATTGTGGAATAAAAGGTTTTTCTACTTTTCCATTTGAGAACTGGGAAAACGGTTGGGAGAGTGGGAAAGGGGGTTCGAAATCATCTTCTTCCTCGAACTTTTTCTTGACTCTAGATGATGTTCGTTGATTTTTATTTCGATTTTCTGTTGCCATTTCTCTTTTCAACGCCCACGGCAACATTTGCCAGTTGTGCAAAATTAGAAAAGTTTTCTTTCACTCTCTCTCTCTCTCTCTTTCCATCTCCCTTTCTCTCTCTCTCTGATTGTTTCCTAGAAGCGGAAAAGCATGGTAGAGGAAAGCGGGGCGGCAAGCGTGTGCTTTGGGTATTTGTCTTGTTAAAAATTTAAGCGAATTTCCTCGAGAAGCCAAATCGAAATCAGCATCAGGAGCAGCAGCAGCAGCAGCAGCAGGAACAGGAATAGAATCCGCACCAGAATCGCAATCTGATTCGGGATTCAGAAGCTAAATCCCTGGCTGAGGATTTGCAATTGCTTTGCGGCTGAGTCAGAGTCGCTGATGCCTGGTGCTGACATTGATATGTTAATGAATCCGCATCATCGACGACGACGACGGTCTCTAATCCTTGCCAGGAGCAACCCCTGGAAAATGCCGGGATCTCTTTATATGGTCACACCGGTTTTCGCTGAGCAGTCAATTAAATGTTTAATCCAAATATCGTTTTATTCGTCGCATAGAGAGCAGAGGCCGGCTTGTCCGGAGATTTGCCAAGCGAGAGATTCCACCATGTGGACATGTGGCAATAAGAGGGCAAAAGGTATACACAGGGAACAATTTATGTTAAATTAAAGGTTTTGAAAGTAATGGTACAAATTAGTACTGGTTCGTTTTTACTTAAACTGTATATTTTTTATTTAACTTAAGAAATTATTAGATCAATGCAATATATATTTGATGATACACTTTCTTTGTATGCGCCATAAACTTAAGTTATTCGAGATAATCACCCTTTTAAACGACATTATTATATCGAAATATATTTCTGCTTTATAAAATATTCACATATAATGCACAATACACCTGAAAGAAGCTTTGACTCCAACTTTCTTGCAGTGTAGCATATAGAAGCATTATCCAATGGCAATGGCAGTCGCATCAAGGGATCAGTCAGCTCAGGGATCGGGGATCGGAGGATAAGTTTAATCTTGCGATATGCGTAAGCGTGCAAATTGCATCGATTACGCATGGCGAGCGGGATGAAAGAGAGGCCCAGAGCGGATCAGAGAAGGACGGGGATATCTTAATGTAAAGGGAGACAACAACAAAAGGTGCAATAAAACCAAAAACCCCGAGAGCAGATGAATGGCAGAGCAGAGGGAGCGAGAGGGCAGGCAGGGCGTGAGGTGAAAACCAAAATGGTTGCCGATCAAAGAGAGAGATAGAGATAGTGTTGGTGAGGGAAGGATATAGAGCATTAAGCAGCTGCTTCACAACGAAAAAGGATCTGTGTTTTAGGTACATATTTGCGTAAACAAGGCCACACTTTGGTCAGAGCCCCTCATTCTTCTTTCCTGTTTGATATTCGGGCTCAGCTTGTTTGATTTGCTTTTGGAAAGATGTTTCCAAAGGATAATGCCTGAATACAGGCTCCAGAGAACAGAACACAGAGGGGCAGAACACAATCATAATAAAACTAAGTGAGAAATCAATTGACAGATAACCTTCCAAACAGAATTCTGGTTTCAAGTCCCTGCCCAGGGGCATATTTATTGTGTGTTGAAGGAAAACCCCAATGGTTTAATTATTTGCTATTAGAATATTAAAAAAAGGAAGAAAATTCTTAAATAAAAAGGGAATAGTTGGTTTGAATTAATGGTTTTTCTTTCCTTAATTTCTCCCCCATTAAATCAAATTTCCAATATAATAATTTATTGCAATTTCGTAATTAATGTAATTTGCTAAAAGTAAATACAAACCAAAAGATAAAAAAGGGGGGCGGGAACAGAGCACAAACATTGTAAGATACATAAATATTATGTAATATCTCTACCCTCAAAATGTTGTATTGTTTTCCTTTTTTTTTACCTCCCCCTTAAAAAGGGAACACGGAACACTCTCCCATAACAACTCTCCCTTTTGTTGCTGTCATAATTTTTCGTGTTGATTTGATGCGTAAT